CCTTGCAGCCATCTTGCGTGTACCCAGGGCCAAGCATGTTGTGATGACGACGGCCAGACCCTCAGGGATAGCAGCGACACCGAGCGATACGGCAATTTTGAGGTAGTAAATGGCACCCTTGGTGAAGCTGCCATGCGAGGGGTCGTTGAAGTTGCGGATGTTGATGAGCCAGACGAGGATGCAGATGGCCGTGATGACCTTTGCAAGCTGGTCGCCGAAGTCGTTGAGCTTCTCCTTGAGGGGTGTGGGTTGAGAGATCTGTGCCGTGATGCTTTCATGAATGTCTCCAATCGCAGTGTTGGCGCCCGTCAGGACAACCAGCGCAGTCGCGTGGCCCGTGACGACCGTGGTACCTGAGAAGAGCATGTTGACTTGGTCCTGCTTGACGGCGCTCTCATCTTTGACGGCCCGGGTGTCCTTGGATACACTCTCGCTCTCTCCGGTCAAGATGGACTGGTCAATGTTGAAGCTGTTGCTCTGGATAGACAAGATCCTGCAGTCGGCGGGTATCCTGTCGCCGATCGTAACGGAGATGACATCTCCAGGGACCAGCTCGTCGGCCTTGACGCGTTTGACGTGTCCATCACGCACGACCTTGGCCTCGTTGGCGGAGTATTCTTGCAGAGCCGCAATGGCCTTTTCAGCGCTAGTTTCTTGCGATACTCCGACGACGGCGTTGAGGACGAGGATGGTGAGGATCTATAGGGCATGTCAGCGCATGTGTGTGCATAGTCTGATCTAGTACGTACGACTGCCGGGTCGACGAATGCCGTCCAGCCTTCGTCCTCTTCAAAGAGGGCAAGTACGAACGACACTGCTGCGGAGCCCAGCAAGATGATGACCAGCTGGTCCTTGAACTGCTCCAGGATGAGCTCCCAGATGGGTGTCGGCGGGTCTTCTGGCAGCGCTGTCCCGCGTGTTAGTGGTGGGCGGCCTCTGCGACGACGCTGACATACCATTCTTTCCATGCTTCTCCCTTGCGCTCTGCACCTGCTGGGCGCTGAGGCCCTGTTGCTCCTCGACCTGGAAATGCCTCAGCGCCTCGGCAGGCGTCTTGGTGTACGCATTGTCCATGCCCACTGCTCTCTGTACCGGGTCTCTGTCTCGGTGCACTCCCTGTTCGATGGTCGGGCGTGTAGTGGCTCAGTCGTGGCGCAATGGTGGTGTTCGCAGAGATAGTTCGGCTCGCGGAGTGTATGGCCTTGAAGTCGCAGGCGTCTTTGCCTATGACGTTGAGATGAGATGAACTGAGACAACGTCCGCCTTATTACTAGGAGCGGCAAGGGAGGGACCGTGTTTCCTGGCACAAGCAGCGTCACAGGAGAAGAGGGTGGAAGGTTCTGCGATTGTCTACGGCAGCAACGGCAGTACTGGCGGCGCAACAGCACTTGTCTCGACTTCGGCGCATCCCAAGAAATCTGTCCTCTAAAATCGACCCGCATGCGCCACAGCACTAGTCCCTTTCCAGCCTCACCAGCCACGTTTCGCCCGCCAACACGTTTCGCGCCCCTCGTTGCAATTCGCTCACTCGTCCAACTGGACCTCGATGCGCGCCCGTTCCACTCGAGCGGAATGTGGCTGGTGAGAGTCGCCGTTCGCAGCGACTCTGAAAGGCTTGGGGTGCGGCCAGATTCCGAGACCAGGTGCCATGTTCGGCCATGCCCCGCGGCTCGAGCTCCCCACTTTGGACATTATGACTGCAGCTCACCAGGGCAAGACTGCCGTGCCTGCGGGTCGAGCTCGGCAATCCGGGTCTTAGCAGAGCCTCACCACCGAGTGCGTCGTCCTCTGATTAAAGCTCACGTTACCATCACTGCAGTGTCACTCGCAAAGGAAGCAACGACTCGAATCATATGGTAAACGTTTCGTTGTATAGTAGCCCGCATATGCTACTGCAGCCCATGTTCCAGGTCGTCCCAACATGCACAATTCATCAAAGGGTATTATGGCCTACCAAAGGCATCCCGCTCGCTAAACGCCACAAAAAGGCTCTTCAAAGGCCCGGTCAAATGCTATCGTGATCATCATGTACCCAGTCCGATCCAGTCATGCCCGCTCTCTAGCATCAGCACCTGTATGGTGTACGACTATAATGTATGTATCGTGAATAAATCCAGGCAGCCAAAGGGCCGTGGGAGAAGTAGAAATTGCAAGCTCATTGGCTTGCGCAGTATGTCCGAATCAATCGGGCAATGTCTCGGGTGATGAAGGGCTTGGTGACGAAGCCCTTCATTCCGCTCTTGACTGCTTTGTCCAGAGCGGCATCCGTAATGTCGGCGCTGACAGCCAGGACGGTCGGCTTTCTCACGAGCTCGGGCATCTTCAGAATCACCTCGGTAGCTTGGAAGCCGTCCAGCAGCGGCATCCACAGGTCCATGAGAACGACATCAAATGCTTCAGAAGCCGGCGCGAGCGCATTGCGACGAACAGTTTCGACGGCGTCGTTACCGTTGAATGCCGTGGTAATGTTCTTGTAGCCCAGTCTGCCGAGCATGCTCACCAAAACGCGTCGGTTGATAGCGTTGTCATCTACGACTAGAATGTTGAGGGGCAGCTGTTCGCCGAGATCGGTTGGCACGGCGTCCCGCTCCAAAGATAGAGCGCGAGTAGAGTGTTGTCGTGGGGGCGATGAGGTGCGGCGGGGAGTAGCAAGGCCAATGTCATCTCGCGATCTTGCAGAGGGGACGGTAATGACAGGTGTGATTGGTGGTCGACGTTCCCGCTCGTGTTTGAATGCATCAGAACTCAGCGGAGGGGTGACTGGGCCCCGGCCAAGGTCCAGACGAGGTACCTCGGGATCGATAGACATGCGAGACTTGATGGAAAGGGTAGGGGACCCAAATGGTGTGGCAGGACGACTGCATATTTCGCCTGGGGTAAGCGGGACTCGCATCTCAAATTCTGATCCTCTTCCGGGTCCGGACACATGCGAACGCAGGCAGAAGAGATCGCCACCGAGCTTCCTCGCGATACCCTTGGCGACCATGAGACCAAGGCCCAGCCCCTCACTCTGCCGAGTCATCGAGTCGTCTTCTCTTGAAAACGGCTTGAAGAGGTTAGGCAGAAACGCCGCTGGGATGCCGGAGCCAGTATCCTTGATGTTAATGACAATGTAGCGACCTTTTGCGCTGAGTGTTGCTTGGAGTGTGATGGATCCGTCCTGTGTAAACTTGATAGCGTTGAGAGCAAGGCAAGAGACCATCTTAGCAAGGTCCCGTTCGTCAATGACGATCGTCTCTGGCACATCGGCGGAAACAGTCCACTCGATCCATTTGGTGTGTGCCTCTCCATTCGAGCTACGTGTCCGAACTTCAATGCGCTCTCCCGTATCCGTGGCCTCGGCGATGGCGGAATCCGGTCGTCCTCCTACTTTGAGCGCATCGTTGATGACGTACTGGAGGACTTCTCGTAGGTTGGTGTGTCGGAGTCCAGGAACCTTGGAGTGCTCTGACGCGAAGATTGGCGAGGTGGTGGAGTCGCACTTGCCCAGCGATGTTCCATGTGAGCAGGTGTGGTCTAGTCGATCCAGTTCCAAAGCGCTTGCGTCTGGAGGACAGGACTTGGTGCCGCGCATGGGAGGCTCCTCTGAAAAGGTGTCTCGAACCCGTTGGCGGGCACTCTTGACCACGCGTGTCTTGTTAGCATGATCTGCCCAGGAGACTTCGTGTCGTCTTCTTTTGATGCCGCGTAGTGGAGCGCGCATGTCGTTGCCGGTAATCATCAGATCCGGCCGCATCTCGCGCCAGAAGGTGTTCCACTGGTCGGGCGTCTTGTCTAGTGGCGAAAGTGGGGTCTCTGGTACGCCCATGTTCATGTCATAGGCGTGGACAACATTGTCGGCTGCTTCGACTGCGCGTCTTGAGCTGTCTGATACGTAGTTAGTATGGCTCGGTTCAAGACTCGATGCTGGATTGGTGTTTCCCAGTAGGATCAAGCAGTGATTTTGCAGGATTGTTACACACCTTGGACCGCCTCAATGTTCTCCCTGAGTGTGTCGAGTATCTCACGGGTCCGCGATTCAAGTTGTAGGGATTCTGATGCTTCTTTTACGTTTGCCATCATGACGTCTAGCATACCAACGACACCCTGCATCGGCGTCCTCAACTCATGGGATAGACTCCGGGCGTAAGGCTTCAATGACTGGGCAACTGAGACGGCACTGTGCGGCACGATCCTGGGTATCTGAGCTCGGATTGGTTCAGCAGCCTCTGCGAAATCGTTGCCTTCCAACACGCGCTCTAGAATCATGTCTTCTAGGCTATGGAACAGCATCTCAAGAAACCCCCAGCTCAACACGCGCCGAGCAGCCCCCTCTTTACCCCACATGACACCGAAGTGGGCGAAGCACTTTCCTTCCGCAAACAAGGGGATTCCGAGATAGGCCTCGCCGGGGATGATGAGGTCGTTTGGGTTGTCGAGAATGAAGTCGTTTAGTCTTTCGGGAATGATGAAGACTTTGTCATGCTTCATGTAGGCACACGGACACTGGTAGGCATGGTACTTGAAGTTTCTCAGGTGGCCGGGTCCGTTGCCATGGTCGTCGTTGATGTAGAAAGCCTCGCCCATGAGGCAGGCTCCAGGCTCGCCAATGGGTGGCAGTTCGACGGCAACATTCTTGTCGTCGACGAGGATGCGCTTGGAGACGAAAGCGTACTGAGCATCAGCAATCTTGGCCAGGCCCTGGGTGAGCTGGATCCAGAAACTGTCAGTATCAGCCTTGCGGAGAGCATCCTTGAGTTTGACGAGCTGCTCGGCGGCGTTGCTCTCTGCTGGCACGTAGAGCTGCGACAGTCCCTCCCTGAAGCCATTCTCGCCTTGCTGTACGACCATGCCCGGCATTGGGCGGGAGAAGCAGAGCGACTGACGCTCGATTATATCAGGTGGGATGGTAGTAGGTCCCTCCATCGTTCAGATTTCCATGCGGGCAGTCGGCACGGGAGTCCAGGATGGGCACAGGGGTCTGGGTCAGACGAGGTGGGCAGCTGGAAGGAGGATATGCAGAGGCGACCAAGGCAGACGGAAACACATGCGGAAGCGGATTAGTAACGTGGGTGGGAAGGGCGAGGAAGGCGTGATGTGCGGGACTGAGAGAAGGAATGCGAGGAATGGCAGGCACGGCGGGCAGTCAGCGATATGGTTGGTCTTTTGCTAGAGTCGCACATAAGAGGGCTGGTGGACGATCTAGAACCTGTCCCGGAGCCGTGGCTTTGCGCGTCCTTGCACCTCGCGCCTGGCACCCTCCAGGCCCGCCGCTCGTTTTGGTGGTGACTCTGCCGGCGCTGCTAGCTGCCTGGCGCGCGTTCAAAAGGACAGCGGGCCCCGACCGGTGCTGCTGTCTCGACGTGAGGCTCGTCGTGCTGCGAGCTGGCCACATGCTCCCAAAGACGGTCCCGCCGCCTTTCGCCTTGGACGCTGGGGCAGAGTTTGAGCGTCGAGGAACCCTGGTGGCTTCGGTCAGCACGCTCGGTGGGCCGCGCCTGCTGGAACAGTCTAGACGCGCTCGGCTGCCGGTCGCTCCTGCACGATTTCCAGCGCTACCCCAGTAGCCCCTTCCGCTTCGGCCCCTATGCAAACCTCGCCCGCACAGTCGCCGCCGACGCTCACGCCTGGCCCTACGCCATGACGACTACAGTCGCCCGTACAAACATGCACATTACCCTTTCGCCGTCGTCTTTTCTTTTTGCCCATCCGCAAGTCCATGGCCAACATGCTTTATTGTGGCGCCCCAAAGCTGCCTGCCTGCTGCTCAACAATTACCACGCCGCTGCGCCCACCGACGTTCGCGCCCTCCAGCCTTCACCCAGCTTGACGTCAGCGGCTCCCGCTCTCACGCAGCGTACCGCGCCCGTTTGCTGCTCTCGCATTCCCCATGAAGCCGCACTGCCGTCGTGCAGCACAGCGTTTGTAGAGGGACAGCGCCGCACCGGGCTTAGCGCCGCCGCTTAATGGCACCAGATCGACGATCGGCCGAAACGGAAGCTAGCGCCCTTTGTTCTGCTGCCCAGCTGTCTGCTCGTGCTCGCGTCGTCCATCTCTGCCCTCACGCAGCTCCGACACCCGCCCACCAGTCGCCTGGCCCGACATTGCCCTCTTTTTCGACCCCGTTGATGCGGCCTCCGCTTCACTCTGTGACGCCGCCCCTCTGCATGTCGCCCAGACTCTCGGCCCTCGAGCAAACAGTAACGTGTCATCTTTCAAGCCCAGGCCTCAGGCTGCATGCTCGGCCTTTTGCTACCCTTATTCCCTGCGCTAGGGACAAACCATCTTCGTCTGACGAATCAGTCGCTGCCCTTCCGCTGTCCGTATTCAGTTCACAGCTTCGGTCTGCTGGCTCGGCTTCCGCCAACGTCCAAAGGCCCTCGAGAGGCCTGAGGTCAGAGTAACGTTACATGGTGTCTGCTTTGTGTCGTGACTTCTCCAGATCCGTGGGTGGGCTCCTGTTTGGGAACCCGTCGCACCAAGCATGCATCACCTAATCAGAACATGATCGACACGACATCGTGAACGGCGTCCTCCCATGCGAGTAATGATGTGCACCGTGTGCTGATCAGCTTCTCTAGCTGGGGCTCAGGCCATGTCAGCATTCATGCCCTTCTTCTTTTTATCTTCCCTTTTGGCCTCACCTGCATCACCATTACCCGTGAACATTCATTACTACCAAGCTGCCATCCAACGAGTGCTGTGGACATGTTCGACGCCTGGTATGCAGCTATCCAATTTTCCGGCGCTAGCTGCACCGGACTACTCCAGGGCTGCAGAAGGAGCAGCCACAAAACATGAAAGCTGCCAGTAAACGTCGGCGTCTTGGTTCTCACCGCAACTGCCTCGAGAGTGGAGAGGCGTTCTTCGAGCGACGACCGGCCGGCAGTAGCATCTAGATCGTGAGGCGAACATCGTCGAAATTTTACGGCGACTCCTCAAGATCTTGCTGCACCCACGACCCACTCACCGGGTCGAGATAATGCGCTTGCCAATCACACCTCTAAGCAGACGTCTTGACACTGATTGAGCGACGCTACCATCTGTTGGTTCATCACAGCTGGCGAGGTCAAGAGCATATGAACCATGGTACGTATCTGACATGCCGCGCTAGAAGCTCTACCCGCGGAGCCGTCGAGCTGTCTAGACCATTGGCCAGCCCAAGGTCTGCCTACTCCAAGCCTTTGCTGCACATCTGTTTCTACCTCGCTCCAGGTGTTGAGCAGAGGCGTTCACAACACATGCCACCTTGTACCAACGAAGACTCTCGATCTCTCGGGAATCTACTCCGCGATGATGACGACATGGACATCCATGTTTGCTGTCTATTCATTGCGCCCATCACTAGAATCCTTGGCAACGGTCTGGGCCTACCCATATCGGGTGCCTGGTCTGCCTCGTCGATATCAAAAGCCGCACGACCGTGCTCCTTAGGAGGCTTGCATCGACAGCTGACATCAAGTCCAGACAGCACTACAGGCTTAACGCGCGCTCAAAACAATCAAATGTCTTTGCTTTGAACGACGCCGCATCAGCCTGCAACATGGTGGAACGGCTCCGGCCCGCTCCAGAACAAGATGCTTCTTACTACGCCGCCGCTCAGGACATAAAACAAGCACGGTGAGCTCAGGGCGGCAGTGCGTCTCATTCGGCCGACCAATGTCAGATGGCAACGATGACAAGCCCAGGCTTTGACAGACCCTGAGTAGCTCCTGCATATCCCTTGCGCTTCTTACGTTGCACCGCGTCTCAGGCTCCGAACATGGCTATTGTGAAGCTTACAGAGAGCCCAGATCAGATCTATCTCATGGTGTGCGCTGTATTGTCTGCTCGGGGTATCGATGGCTTGTACATCCCAGGCCGCCAACGTGCCGAGTTCCGGGCCGTCTCTAGGCCAGGGCATGAGGTCGTTCGCGGCTCGATTCACACCTACCAATACCGAGATTTGGCCGAATACCTGCTCAACTGACTTTGTGAGAGGGTACGCAGAGCATCGCGAAGCCGGCGTGTTGCAAGCTTGATCATCGGCAGGCTCAACGAGTTTCCATCTATCAGCTAGGACTGTACAAACCATCAGTGTACATGTGTGACAGCTGGATGCCGGAAGAAGCGCACTCTGATCAACAGGCAGACAGTTAGCTCCAGTCACATCGTCCTTGTACCATTGAATTTCACGCCGTTCGTAGCAAACGCACACCAATACTACCATGAGTACCAAGGTACTTTGCCACTCAGTCTATCGGCTGGCAGTCCATACTACACGGTGTCCTCGACATTAGTTTCCAACTGCCCAGATATGAGCATCGCGTTACTTGAGTGGTTGTGTACCATTGATGCATGGGACAGGGTCATACATGTACACCATCTCAATGTACATACATTTCGGCACCTTGCTCAGAGATGTGATATCACACCATCACGGCCTAATCAATAGCCTGAGTATATGCGCTCTTTCGAACACTGTATCCTTCACATACCACTAGTTCAGATCCATGAGCAGCTGAAGGACTCCTCAAAAGCATCCGACCCACGCATCATTCTACACGATATCTCCATTCTCAAACTAACAAGTCAAAATCATGCCTCTCACAATGCCATCTCATCAACTCTCGACCAATCTGCTCCTCCTCCTCCTAATACCCCTCAACACCGCCTCCGCAGTCCTGCAATCCGCCTGCACCATCCCAAAAATAACAACAACAGTCGCCATCGACATGTCTTCATTCATTGCTCCAGCCGATGCAACCACCACGTCTCCGGCACCAGCGTCCACAACAACGCTGTGGCAGATCGACCCCGTGTGCCTGCCCGGCGTGGCTCAATGTCACCATTTCGGTGATCGCCTCCGGTACTGCAATGCCACAGGCTTCTGGGTCCCGAATTATTGTAGTGGGGATTGGATATGCTGTGCGTATAGTGCGAGAAACGGGGCTGGGCCTATGTGTGAGAGTAGGGAGCAGTGTGAGGTTGTTGGTGGGCCGGGGATGGCGCTGGGCCTGTGGGAATAGAACGGTAGACCGAAGCAGAGGCTGGATTTGAGATGGACGACAAAACATACGTGGGCAATGAAAATGAGACGGCAATGCGTAGGCGGTAGTAAAACGACTAATTGTACTTCCTCAGTCTTACGATCCATCTCATTGATCGTGTGGAACGAGCTCACTGAAGATTACTCGGTCATAGCATATCATTGTTCTTCTGTTACGTTCATCTTGGTATACTCTCTATTCATCAAGTGCATAGCCTTCGTTAGAAATGGCAGATACCCCACACACTATGATGCTGCCCGGAGAGACCGATGTCAATTTTCCATTGTTTTCAGGCAGACGGAAGTAAAGCCCTTTTGTAGTTACGATGACAGCAATGTGGTCTACATACAAAACCTTGATTTCTAACGAGCACAGCTACTCTAGACCGAAAGCTCCGCCAAGAGCGAACAAGGAGCATTTCGACACCAAGCACTAGCAGAAGCAAGAGACGCTGGCCCCTGGGCTTGTCGGAGATACTTTGAAGAAGTGTCAAGACTGGTAATGGCAGTGTGGCGGATCGATGAGGTGTAGCTTGGGCTTCGTCCGACTTGTAAGGGATCATGTCTTATCTCTACTGACAGGTCCGCGAAGAAAAGCTGCAGATGATGGGTTGTCCTACACACCGACCTCTCTCCGTTCGCGCTTCTTTTGTCCAGAAAGTGGATAGTTCACATTGCTGTAGCACCGTCACGGAAATCGTCGTGTCAGAATGAGTACTGCGTTAAGTACTTGTCTTCCCGAGGTGATATACAGTGCAGGAGTCAAAACATACACCTCCTCGGCCGATGCAGCTGCTGCCCCAACGGAAGAGAGTCCTGCAATAGCAAATTCGGGATCAGAGAGATATTGCTACGAAAGATGAGCAAATATCAAGTCAACATATGCGTCAGGCTGCAATGCCTAATTGGGGAGCGGAAATTTGTTGTGTAGGATATATCATTGCATTTCGCGTACATATTTCCCTTCGCTCTGAACTTCGTTATCGTCGCATATTCTCATGACTCTGAAATTACCGGACTCTGCAGATCAGTCGCTTACAAGTTGACGGCAGTCCTGAAGTTGTTGCCGGCATAGACGGCGTTGTCACCGAGTTCCTCCTCGATACGGAGGATCTGGTTGAGCTTGGCGAGGCGCTCAGATCGGGCCGGCGCACCAGTCTTGATCTGACCAGATCGTAGACCGACAACAATATCGGCGATGGTAACATCCTCGGTCTCTCCGGAGCGGTGAGAAACCATGACACCCCAACCAGCACCGAAAGCGTCTTTGGCAGCCTGGATGGCCTCGGTGATAGTGCCAATCTGGTTGACCTTGAGGAGAAGAGCATTGCAAGACTTGAGCTCGATGGCCTTCTTGATGAACTCGGGGTTGGTAACGGTCAAGTCGTCTCCGACAATCTGGCCATCGTAGGTCTTGAAGAAGTAAGACCAAGCCTCCCAGTCGTCCTCAGCGAAGGGGTCCTCGATGCTGACGATAGGGTACTTCTCGGCCAGAGACTTGTACATCTCGGCAAGTTGCTCGTATGTGAGCCACTTGCTCTTGTCGCTGTCGGGGTTCTTGAAGTCGAGGTCGTACTTCTTCTCGTCGGCCTTGTAGAATTCGCTGGACGCAACATCCATAGCAATCTTGATCTTGCCAGTGTAGCCAGCCTCCTCGATGGCCTTGGTGATGAGGTCAAGAGCCTCCTCAGCGGTTTGGATGTCTGGGGCGACACCACCCTCGTCACCAACGTTTCCGGCGGACTGTCCGTACGTCTTCTTGGCGAGAGCCTTGAGCTTCTGGTAGACTTCGGCTCCTTGGCGCATAGCCTCGGAGAAGGTGGGGGCTTCACTGGGAGTTGTTAGTGTCGAGTTTCACGGGCTGCACGGGTGTGAACTTACCAGGGAACGATCATGAACTCTTGGAAAGCAAGACGGCCACCGGCGTGCGAGCCACCGTTGAGGACGTTTTGAACTGCACAGTCAGTACGCAGTGACTGCATTACTCGATAGGGATTGCCTACAGGGTACGGGGAGAACATAGGGCTTCTTGGTGCCAGCCAAGTCGGAGATGTGTGCGTAGAGGGGGACACCCTTCTCAGCGGCAGCGGCCTTTGCGATGGCCATTGAGACACCGAGGATGGCGTTGGCGCCCAGATTGGTCTTGTTTGTTGTGCCATCGAGCTTGTTAAGGAACGCGTCTACGGCGGACTGGTCCTTGACGTCGAGCTTCTCCTTGATAAGGGCAGGGGCAATGGTGTCGTTGACGTTGGCGACGGCCTTGGTGACACCCTTGCCGCCCCATTTGGACTTGTCTCCATCGCGGAGTTCGCAGGCCTCGTGGGAGCCAGTGGAGGCGCCGGAGGGGACGATGGCGCGGTGAAGGCCGGTCTCGGTGACAATGTCGACCTCGACGGTCGGGTTACCCTAGAGCGGGTTAGCTGTGAAGCTCGGTGGTGGGGCATGCGTTGCTGGTGCACGACGTACCCGAGAGTCGTAGACGGAGCGGGCGTGGATCTTGGTGATGGTCATGGTGAAGGATTGCTGTTGGGAGAGTCAATTGGAGTGCTGGGGAGCCGCAGAAGTGCAGGGCAGGAGATATAGAAGCAGGTCGGATGCGCGGGCAGCAGAGTCCGGCCGCGGAGAGGATGCCGGCAGAAAATTCGACTTACTAGTTGTATGTGTAAGATCAAGTGTCGGTGTTGTTTTGTTTGGGTGGGGTGTTCCAGAGCTTAAGAGTCCAGCAAGGTTTTGGAGGGGTCGTTCAGCAGATTTCAGCCCCGCTATGACGCCGGCGCCTCATTGGCAGCCCACGCCCTCGTTTGTAAAAGCCATTATCGCAAGCCTTGGGTGGGACGACGCGCAAGCTGGTTTGGGCGAGCTGTGGGATGGACGTGACAGGCGTCCGTGATACATGCCCCTTGCGGGCCTGCCGATTATGCACGGGAGATCGTCGTCCAAGATAGCTTCTTTGGCAAAGGATTCAAAACTCCATGGTCGTCAGAGTCTTGCAAGCCAAGCCAGACGAAACAGCAGCTTTCATGGCATTGGCGACTGTCCGGAGACCGGCCAGCCCAGCAACGACAGACTCTGACCTGCCATGTCCATCACAGGTTTCATGGTGCCTTAAGGGTACTGGTAAAGTTATTCACGGCTGTCTGTCCAGCTCGTTGTATCATCTGAAGGGCGGCGGAGGGAAAGTCCAAGCACACTGAACCGTGGCTTATATTCGATCAGTTCACTATAGACGCTGCGACTGTGCAGGCCGACATATGGGCACAGCGGGGTTGCAAAGTACGTGTCGGCGCAGGTACCATACGGCGCGTCTGAGTACCGGTATGCGTCCTCGTCCTACGATGGTGAGGACTGAATTGAACACGACATATGGGACGGATGGATAGACGTAACTCAATCTGTACGCGCGCACAGCCCGACGTGGTTCACGACGAGTCCAGTCCTGCCAAGGCCGAGCTGGCCCAAGCTTCATGTGTACGGTAGCCGCGACGCTGGGAGCTGCCTTCGCGTGCGGCTTCAACATCACCATAGCTATTCCCACACCAAGACGGTCTTTGCCGCCATACCAACACGACTGTAGAATCCGGACGCTTACTTTACCTGATCTTACGCCTTCCCGCCCGCTTGTTCACGCCCGACGAAAGTCGCCTTCGCTCCCCACAACCACCACCCCAAGCTCATCACCATGTAAGTCGTTCACAAGGCGCGCTATCCGGATACTGACCTTTGCATAGGGAGGTCCTGCTAGGAATCACCGGCAAGGACTTTACCCTCATCGCCGCCTCCAAAGCCGCCATGCGTGGCGCCACCATCCTCAAGGCATCCGACGACAAGACCCGAGTACTCAACACACACACGCTGATGGCCTTCTCTGGAGAAGCCGGCGATACGGGTATGATAGGAGCGACCACGGCCACTAGCGGTAGCTGACGGTGGTGCAGTCCAATTCGCCGAATACATCCAGGCAAACGTACAATTATACTCCATGCGCAACAACATGGAGCTGTCACCCGCTGCAACTGCCAACTTCGTCCGAGGAGAACTGGCGTCGGCGCTGCGATCAAGAAAACCATACACGGTCAACTTGCTCCTGGGCGGATACGACACGATTGCCGACAAGCCAACTCTCTACTGGATCGACTACTTGGCGAGTCAAGCACCGCTCCCATACGCCGCACATGGATACGCACAGTACGTCCCGCCAGCTGCCCTCTCCAATGCAGCACCTCTGACTCCGTTCCTGCCACTCTCGCACATTCATGCTCATGCTAACACGGTACTACTAGGTACTACTGTCTCTCCCTGCTCGACAAACATCACCATCCTGACATCGACTACGAACAAGGCATGAAGATCCTGCGTATGTGCACTGAGGAGCTGAAGCGACGTCTTCCGATCGATTTCAAGGGCGTACTGGTCAAGGTCATAACAAAGGATGGTATCAAAGACGTGGAGTACGAAGAAGACGTAAAGGTTGCGATCCCATAGAAGACTATGGGTCAGCGGAGGCTAGACCATTCTACCAGATGATTTATGCACAGCAAATGGGTGCCATTACGATTATGACACTCGGGCATGATAGATAACGAAGCTAAGTAGTCAATTGACATTAATGACTGCCGTGTCGTGCTCTTGTCTCGGCTTCTCTCTTGCTTCTGAACCTTAAACAGGCCTCTTCGCCGACTCCATGCACGATGCCGTAGGGTTAATGGTCACAAGTCCGACAACTAACGACGAGGCCTTGAGATAGCTTAGAATACCGCGGGCGCAGGCATGGAAGCAAAGAGACAGAACAATCATTACAAACTTGTACATCGCACTCATGGCAACGCATGCATGAGACATGGGTATGTCCTCCAAATAAATCGACACCGCAGACTCATCGCCATCACTGAAGACGACCCAACGAGAAAGCAGCTTCCTACAGGAGTATCGCTCTCCGATCCCACGCCACCGTAGTGACTGGCAACTAAAAGACAGAGATGTTCTGATAGTCGTGGCTGGGATCGTTTGTATTTTTTGATCAAGGAGCGACAAAGGAGGACGAGGGGCGCAGGGTTTTTATACTGACGTGTGGGGGCTGCCAAGCCGGTGCACGGGCAGAAGGGTTTTTAGGGCACGGGCACCACCGCACGATGGAGCGGCGACAGCGACGAAGGTGACGAGGCGTGTGGCCCACGAACATCAACACTGCCGACATCATAATGCTGCAGAAAAGACCATGGCGCAACAGCAACACTCAATCGAGAACCGCGTAACGTATCTTCAGTATCCGCTTGATTCGACCGCACACGTCGACACTGCCGCGCACTCACCCATCCACGGGTCACAACATGTTGCACGAGGTCAAAGGTCATAGAGTAATGTGTAGAGTGAATTGTTTTTTTTCATTTTGGGGAAGCTGATGAGCTTGAAGCATGTCACGATCCACCACTGCGGCCTGAAGACAGTGCCGCCGCTTCAAAGAACAGCTTTCACGTTCTAGTCATCGCAACCATCGGACATGCGCTTGCCTAGTCGGACTTATTCGCAGCTATGTCGCTCCTAGTTCTTGTATCCGTTCTCGTACCCGTTGGCCATGACCTCCTGGAGACCTTGGGGAGGACCATTCGCCTGGCCCTTGGCGGTACCATTGACCGCGCCATTGCTCATGCCGTTCATGGTCTTCTTCGACTCGTGCATGGCATCCTCGATGGGCTTGTCGTTCATGGTATACCCAGTGTCGGAGGCGTCGACAAAGGCGTCGAGACCAGCGCCCTCGCGAGGGTACTCCTTCATCAGTTCCTTGTGTCGTCGCAGAGCCTTGTTCATCTCCTCGGGAGAGACGTCGTTCAGGAACACGCAGGTACCGATGGGGTTGGGTACGGCAGCACGGAGCAGACCGTCACGAGTCTTCAGGATAGCCTTGGTGGCCTTGTCGAGCATGTCCTCGTCGAACAGCTCGTGGTCCATGGACAAACCAGCCCTGGAGAACAGGTTCAACAGCCTCCTGTGCTCCTCGTCGCTGAGGAGACCGCGCTGGTTTGCCAATGTCGCTGAGTAGGCCATGTCGATAGAGATGGCATGCCCGTGGCGGAGTGGGACCTTGGGTGAAAGCTTCGGAAGAGTCAGCAAAGGCAACGTACTTAGGGTGCGGTAATATTACTTCGTGGAGCGGACTCCAGGTATGGCCGTAGGCAATGACACGGTCGAGACCGATCTCGTGGAGGTTGGGCGTCTCGAGCTTCAACATCTCGTGGATACCAGCACGGTTGATCTCATCCGCTGCCTGGAGGACCTCCTTGTCGTTACCCTCACGACCGAATCGAGAAGTGATTAGCTTCTCGCAGTACTTGTCCAGCAGGTCAAATGTTGGCTTGTGGGCGCAGGTCGAGATCTTGATCAACTCTGCGAAGCCGTTTCGTACTTGGCCCTCTGGCAAGGTCTTCAAGAAGGAGAAGTCGAGGAATGTGTGCATCGGGGCGTGGTACGCTCCGAGACGGTTCTTGTAGTTGCCGTAGTTGACGGCGACCTTGATGCTGACACTGGCATCGATCAGGCCAATCACGGTAGTCGGGATACGGATGAAGTTGGTGTTCCTTCGGTATGCCGCGCAAGCAAATCTAGGTCACGAGTTAACTCCATTCCTACAGCGCAGTCAGGCCAGAGTGCCTTAGAGCTATTTTTTACCCAGCAACGTCAGTCACCAAACCACCACCCTATGATAGATCAGCATTCTGCAACACTTCATTCGAGCGTCATAACGTACCACGACAAGTACTGGCTCCTTTCGGATGATGCCAAAGTCGGTCATCGAGTCAACGATGCTGAGGAGAGTCTCCATGGACTTGGCCTTTTCGCCGATCATAGTCTTGTGGATCGTCAGGGGCAAGTTGTAGTGGTCGAAGTACTTTTGCATCTCATCGCCATAGACGTTGTAGATGTTAAGATCCATGACAGCCAGGCAACGGCCCCAACGCTCGTAGCACTTGGCCAGGTTGTCGTTGGCAGGGTTGAAGACGCCATCGAGGAAGGTGAAGTCATATTCGATCTTCTCGTATCCCTCGACGTGGAAGCCGTTTTGGGTCTCGACGACGGAAGCTTTAAGGTCTGACATGGTGAAAAGAGTTGGAGAAAGGTGTGAATGAGATACGTTGAGTTCTGCGGTGTCAGCGTACACACGACTGCTCTATATAAATGGCGACAGACCGATATCGTCTGGGACTACTCACATAGCTCGCGGTACACGCTCCGCCTCCATTGGCTCTCAAAGGTCGGCAGCGCTCCAGACAACGTCAACCATACGCATTATTTTCGTTCATGATGCGGTCACTCGTGGATCCCTTGTTGTTTGGACTTGGTGCCACTTCACTTCGAGCCAGACTAGGCTCCTACTGGCCAGCCATGATGAAATGACTTCAACAACATTGCCCTCCCAGCGGTAAAACCCGGTTCCGGCACATGGGATATGCACTTTACTCATGCAACATGGGTTTTTGCGGGCTTGGGCACAGCAGAACCATCCTACTTGCCTTCGGCCAAGGACGAACTCGGCGTAGCACAAGCCGCGAACCCATCTAGTGCCAACAACGGAGTCTCTCCCGTTGTGGAGTGAATGAGATACACTACATACAACTGCGGGGCAGCCATCGAAATCACCTCATATCCACTTCAGGATTCACATCGTTCGATTGCTGACGCTCTGTGGCAGATGGTGGGAGAGTCCCCATTTGCCAGCGAGTCAGAAGATGTGCAGTGTGCGCGCAGGGCTGATAGTACGCTACCGGTAGCCATACAACGGCACTTTCTTACCCCTCAGTCCAGGGACAAGCTGGAAAATTGTGACATTCAGCGAGATCTTTTCGATTCTAGTTCCCGCTTCGGGTAGATATAGTTTGGCGGATCCAGGATCGTTGAGGTATATTGCCTGGTAGAGGTAAGCGTACGTTGTCATGGCAAGTCCTTGTGGCTCCGTAGTCGGTTAGCGGACACAGCGAGCTCTAGATCGTTGACGACAGCCACACCCAACTCAACGTCAACACTATACAGGACCGTGTATGCACCAATGAACCGCCCCACATGAGCGTCGCGTATCCGCATGGCATAGTGCGAACTCGCCTCAACCGGTGCCAAGGGCGCTTTGACGCGTACACGGGAGTGTGGCATGGAAAAGGCAGGATACGGCGTCACACGTACATTGGCATCCCACCCTCAATAATGGGGTTTTGCAGGAAAAGCAATTTGAGCGATGTCAATTGCTAATATGCTAACATAAAGAGTGACATCTAGACGCCTCCACGGAGGCAGATTGGGTGCTAAAGCGGTCGAATGGACTAAGCGCCACTCGTACATGTTCCTGCATGTATTTCGTCATCACTGATCACAGCCCCGCACTAGACCAGACGCGTTGAGGGGCAACTGTAGTAGCTTGGACGCGTCGAGCTTACGACTGTCCGCACAATTTCAGATTGCCATTGAACAACAACAACAATGGGCAGCTTTGATCAAAGCAAGGCATATGCAGCGCAAGAGGAGGAGGGTGCGTTTTTCGACGATGGGCGCGAAATCGAGCTCCTGCACTTCGTCTATTCACATCCCAACATCGAGAAGATACGAGGATCTCCAGAGAATGTTCTGGCAGCCATTGACGAGTATGGACGCACAAAGAAGTATCTCATGAACGTGGGAGAGGACAAGGGCCGCATTGTCACGGACTTGATCGCGGAAGTAAAGCCAAAAACCATGGTATGAATGTGCCTGCATTCGATTCTATATCCCTAACAGCACGCAGGTAGAGCTCGGCGGCTACGTAGGCTATTCCTGTATTCTCTTCGCAGATGCTGTACGAAAAGCAGGCGGCGAGCGATACTTCAGCTTCGAGCGCGATCCCGCCTTTGCGGCTGTCATCATGTCTTTGGTCGACCTTGCAGGCCTCACCGATCTTGTAAAGGTGATTGTGGGCTCAAGCGACGAAGGCATTGCGCGGCTGGCAGCATCGGGCCAACTGAAGCAAGTCGATCTCATGTTCCTGGACCACTACAAGCCTGCCTACACAACAGACCTGAAGCTCTGCGAGGAGCTTGGCCTGGTCAAAAAAGGCTCTGTGCTGGCAGCAGACAATGTCATCAAGCCAGGAAATCCGCCGTACTTGAAGTATGTCAGGTCGAGCGTTGAGGAGAAGGTCAAGGAGGCTGGAGAGGGTGGAGAGACAAACCTCAGCGGCATTGCTGAGACGAACGTTAAGATGTACGAGAAGAGATACGGCAAGGCCAAGTTCAGCGAGAGCAAAGGCAACCCGAATCTCAAGTACGAGAGCAAGCTGGTAAACAGCTACGAGCCAACGGGCGTACCTGTGAGTTCGAGCGCCGGCCGTCTCTCGCGCGCATTTACTGACAAGTACAGGACGGCATAGAAATCACACGATGCGTTGGCTAGAAGAAGGCATCATAACTTGGTAGATGACGCGTAGTAGTATTGTGAATCGCGAGTTTCAGTGCTGGTGGGTCCTGAGCGCCTCGACGCAGCGACGGTACCTGGCTACATGCCAGCACTACAGCTGCCAGCAATGCCTCAATGCTTGCACAAATGAATGTCATAAACAGATGAATCCATACTCTCATAAAGTCTGCGGAGCATTTCTGCGAGATCAACATTGACGGACTGTGGTGATGTTGTGATAACGGGATGACACGTCGCGGTCGAAGAAACAACCATGAGCCCTGCATCCGCCGCCCAAACTCCTCAACCCCCATCCGCCGATCGCGGCCAGATCGCAAACAGGATCTACTATGTCCAGATCGCAGATAGGATGGAGTCTAGTGTTCCACAATGTCGTGCATGAGTGAAGTAACGATGACGTCTAGACTAGCGAGCAAAGCCAGCATTCCAAGGCCAGCAACTTTGTCTGGGCGAACGCAGCCGCACGCACATCAATCACTTCGCCTATGCATGAACGCATTGCGTGACTACGAGCCGTCCGTCTGCACCACTAATTCCTACTTACTTGCAGCTCGCATTGCAGTGCAGCGCAGCTTGCAGGCTTTTGCAAGGGCATAGTTGAGACCACTCTCGGTCCTTTTTTTTGATAAGGTATCGCCGTTGGTGGTGTGTTGGGAAACGTCTGAACGGTGAAGACTGTGCGAGAACAAGTGCCGAGGTCACGAGCACCTCTCTTCCATCAACAGCAGCGGCGAAGACATGGCAGAGGGAAGGAAGGATGCCGTGGTGCCGTTTTACTATAGCCATGTGTGGAAGAATGTGCTTCTACTGGCTCTGAGCGCTGTTTGCGCGCCTGTGTCGGCAGCGCTGGTGTTGCTTGGTGTTGCAGTGTCGCGACTCCAGGGGCAGCACAACGCAACCTTTTCGAACGAGGATAAGCAGCATGTTGCGGCGGCACGAAGACGGAAAACTATCCTCGTCACTGGGGTGTCCATGACCAAAGGTCTGACGATTGCGCGCAATTTGTCGCAGCATACACCGCATCGCATCATTGGCGCCGACATCTCTTCTTTCTCGCCAGGTCGCTTCTCCAGCGCTATTGCGAAATACAACCGTCTGGACACACCGAGTGGCGACGATGCAGAGCCATACATTGACTCCATTCTCTCGATCATCCAGCGCGAGAAAGTGGACCTATGGATCAGTTGCTCCAGCGTTGTCGCAGCCGTAGAAGATGGCCAAGTCGTCCGCCTAGCAGAGAAGCAAGCAAGAGAACAAGGCCGCCATTTCGAAGCCATCCAGTTCCGGGAAGACGTTGTCGAAAAGTTCCATGAAAAGGACAAGTTCATCGACTACATCGAGTCGCTTGGTCTCCCGATCCCGGAATCGCACCGCTGCACCAACCCACATGAAGCGCTCGATGTACTCATGGGTGAGCTGCACAGAACGCCAACGAAACCAGGAAGAACGGTACCAAGACGACAGTTTATCATGAAACCCATCGGTGTGGACGACAAGGCCAGGAACAACATGATGACGCTGCTGCCATTCAATACCCCAGACGCCACAGCCAAATACATCCACTCGCTCAACATCACTAAAGAGAATCCGTTCCAGCTCCAGCAATTCATCAAGGGAAGCGAATACTGTACGCACGCCCTCGTCATCCGCGGAAAAGTAAAAGCCTTCACCAGCTGCCCCAGCCTGGAACTCCTCATGCACTACGAGCCGCTGCCTGCCTCGTCGCCCCTCAGCAAGAAGATGCTCGGCTTTACCGAGCGCGTGTGCAAGGACGGCGGCGAAAGCTTCACTGGCCACCTAAGCTTCGACTTCTTAGTCGAGAACGACGATAAAGGCGCAGCCGCCAAGTTCTACCCTATTGAATCCAATCCGCGCGCCCACACGGCCGTCGTGCTCTTTGAGCAAACTCCCGAAATGGCAGAAGCTTACCTCTCCATCTTCAACAGTCCTAACCCCTTGTCGTCGAAACACAAGACTGGCCCTGTCTTCCCTCGCTCCCCGACGTACAGCTACTACTGGATCGGCCATGACTTGGTGTCTCTTGTTATCCTGCCACTTCTTGATTTACTGTTCGGCGCCGCGACATTGCAGGGTGCTTTTAACGACTTAGCGACGTTTTGGAGTCATGTTGTCGGTTGGAAGGATGGGACGTATTTGTTTGAAGACCCTCTGCCGTTTTTCGTTTTGTATCACGTCTATTGGCCTGCGAAGTTTTTGGAGGCGTTGAGGACAGGGAAGGCGTGGAGCCGGATTAACGTTAGTACTACGAAGATGTTTGAGGGATGAGTATGGCGCGATGTGGGTCGGACTGTAGAAGAAAACGGGTTGATGAGGGGTTACTGACAGCGTAATGAGCGTTCCGAATGTGTTTGTAGACCGTTTGTGAAGAGAATTTGTGCCATTGTCTAGACGTCTTAGCTGGCATCACATCGCACTGCTATGCTATGCTGTCTCAAAAGTACGAATCTACGCGACCGCAACTCGTTATTCGTGAATCCCTCTTTACCAAGTACTCTCCTTCCCCCTCAGTCCAAACTCACATCAGTCTTCGTCTCCCAAACCCGGCCGATTTCCTTATCCCTAATGCTCGACCAGACTCTTTCCAACTCTGCAGAGGTAGAGGTACGAAGTCAGTATATGTCTCACATGCACTTCGTACAGTCAAAACTTACCTGCCGAATCCCTCCTAGCCTTCTTCCTCAGCTCCGCAACGGCAATGGCCATCCGTCGCTGCAGACGAGTCTGTTGGCCATGTAGCGCACGAGCCATAGCGCATCGAGTGTAGCAGTGAAATGCGATGCGATGCTTCCTACCAGAGAGACAGTGGAATGAGCCCTTTCGCGGCTGGGTTAGCGTTAGAAGCTTGACTTTCTTAGACGAGGACGAAGGAATGATGGCCGTGATACGGGATTGGCGAGACGTGGTGCTGGAATATGTGATGCGGTGGAATATCCCTTTTAGCTTGTTCCTGGTCTCCGTAGCTAATGACTCGCTCCCTAGGGATCCTGCGCCGCTGTGTTTGTTGTCATCGTTAATGGGTGCTGCGAGTGAGGTTGCGGCAGCAGTGCCCATAACCTGACAGATTTGCGCGCCCAAGGAATGGCGCTGGTCTGCTTTGGGAGCGATGGAAGTGGGGATGTGTTCATCCGCAGCAACTTCTACACAGGCGCCGTTCTGACCGCCTGAGTTGAGCAGGTGAACTGGGCGGTCCGCGGAGTCATGGCCCGGTTCATGTTTGCGCCTGATGTCATTCCTCTTGTCCTCCAAGTGTGACAGGACCTCCTCATCCTGGGTATCGATAGCGACATCAAGGACTTTTAGACTAGTAGGCTCGTCTAACCGGTTTTTGGTGTCGCACTGTGGATGTTCTTGTCCCAAGACTTCGGAGCCCAGCGTATACGTCGGACCATCTTCCGAGTCTCGATCTGCCTCGAACTTACGCTTGGCGCCGTTGTCGATGCCCAGCGGAGGCACAAGACCAGCCAAAGCACGGGAAACCTCAGGCACCACTTTGTCTTCTGATTCTGCTTGTGGAACGGTCTCCTCGACGCCAGAAGCCTCTTTCTCAGCTTCTTCAGCAGCATACGAAGCCTTGAGGTCCTCCCAATCCCCCTTGACCCGTAACTTGGCGTGCCTCAACTCCACATCACCCTTGGCAAGGGTCAAGTCATGCATCATCTCAGCGACACGTCGAATCTGCTTCAACGGTACGACTTTGGCTGAGATCTGCTGTCCAGCACCCTCCTCAGCTTCGACCTCTTCTTTCTTAGTCTTGGGCTCAATTCGAAGGTCGCGGAAGAGGTCAGTTATCAGCTGGAAGTTGTGGGGCTCAGGATTTGCATTCATGTCTTCAGCCCGGGAGCGCCGTACATCGTCGCTCATGAGAACTTCCTTGCGGAGGCGTAGAACGAGGCCGAAGGCGCGGCGATAGAAGGAGAGGAAGTCAAAGTTACTGCGTACTTCGTTCTCCTGCAGTTCTGACCTCATGGTACCTAGGAGGTTGGCGTGTGTCGTGTCCTGCTTGTCGAAATCGGGTTTGCGTACCTTGGCCTTGTCCTTGCCCTTTCGCCTTGGCTTCGAGGGCGTGATTTTGGTTGCTAGATCGGCAAATGTGCCTCGCAAGTCCTTTGACATCCGCCTAGCCTGTTTACAGTCATCGTCTGATGAGTCTCCAACAGCGTCTTTCCGTCGGTAGAGATGGTTGAAGACTACATGACGCCTCAACCAACGGTCATTGTCCGGATTCGGGCCATAGTAATCGGAAATCGTAGCCTCCAATGGCAAATCACTCCGTAAACCGCGTTCCACTCCAACTTCTTTCGACACCCGAGGGAGGTACTTGGAAGTGTGGCGGAAGTCCGTAGCCATAGCGCGACTACTAGTGCTACCCGAGAGGATATAGCGATTGAGGGATCGCCGTGAAACAAAGCTCTTGACCTAAGCGTTGAGCACAGAATCAGTGCATGTCTCAAATGTAGTTCATACGCCGAAAATCTTACCCATGCATCTTGATCAGATAGTCGAGGTCTGGCCATTGGATGTTCAGACCGCCGATTTGATAGGCGGCGTTGTAGAGGTGAGCGAGGCCATTGACGAACCACTGTATCTGGGCAATAGTAGTATGGTGGTAGATCATGTTGTAATGCCACATTGAAAGTCCCGCGAGCGTCGAATGAACGGTGATGAAGACGCTAGCAGCCATCGGCACTTCTCGCGAATTCAGGACATCTTGCAGCCAGTCCAACAGCCTGTCTAGAGGCTTCAAAAGGAGGGTACTGAACTTGATCTCTTCTTTGCACATGTAGTCAGGCTTTGTTCCCTTGGCCCACATGCGGTCTTCGTAGTCGACATGACAACGGATACACCTGGCGATGTCTAAGCCGTGCTCGGTGAGGTCGCGTAGCATCCGACGATAGTCGTCGCGCACTGCCTCTTGGATGTCGAGAACAATGGCAAGGCCGAAGGGTAGGTAGTCTTGTGATGTACTCTGATGCAACAGCATCTCTGCGGTGAAGTGATCCCACTTTGGAAGCTTGAGGTTGCCCTTGCGAATAATGTCGAAGAACCTCAAGAATATCATGAGAGGGTGCTCCTGGGTGTCATCGCCAACACTGTCCTTCGTCGGGCGCTTGTTCGTGACGTAGCTCTTGATCAAGACGGCAGCATCATCCAGACAAAACAGGTGGCGCAGTGCCTTTTCAGTAAGCGGTGTTACTGTCTTCTGTGCTCTAGTTCCAGGAGCTGCTGCGACCGCCATCATCCACGTCAACCTGGTCCCGCTTCCGCATCTTCTCAAGTAAATTGTCCTGTTCATGGCTTTTGTTGGACTCGGCGGGAAACTGGATGAAGACAAGGGTAGGCGTGTCAGTCTTGCCGTTTCGAGACTTGTTGATACCGGGGACAAGATCCTTCAGCACCGCCATGAGCGCTTGTAAGCTCCCATTGAAGTATTCATGACCCAGGTCCGCCGTGTCGTTGTGTTTGTGATATTGCGTTACCTCCTTCCTTGACCGGATAGCGTCTCCCAGGTCGTTGATACCACTGGTGTCCGCGAGCGGAATGCTCGTAGCGGCTATGGCGTTGACAAGCTGCTCCTGTTTCTGTAGCGGTATTCTGTAGCCCTTCTTTTCCTTTTTCTTCTTAGCCTAGTCTGTAACCACATTTGTGATCTCCACGCCGCGCTGGAATGCTGTCTGGAGCAACCACGCTTGGAATTGGTCGGTGTAGGTCTCGTAACGCTTGACCGTCTCGGGGAGTTGATTTTGTCGGTAGTAGTCCATTTCTTCAGTAGACTGGATCTGCAGCCGAGGAACTGAATACAGGCGACAGTAAAGGCGGGGAGGAGGACCGATGGCAGCAGACAAAGCTTGTGGGGCAGACTTGCAAATGCACCAGAGGAAAAATGACATGAAGACCTATGCTTTCTGACATAGGATGAATGACGAGTGTAGGTCGAAACATCAACGACAACTCACGCTCAAGCGGAGGACTCACACTCGTATATTGCGCAGGTTTCCAGCCAGAAAAGCGTAATTATGAGCCACCGAGATTTTGTTGCTGTGTCAAACCTGACGTTACCAGGTGGTGGCCTAGAGGCAGCAAGCTCAGCAGTCTATATCCCTGACTTGCTATCGTTCTAGCGGGCCGCGGGTCCAGGTCCAAAAGGGAAAGGAGCGCGAATCCCCCATACCATAGCCCCTGTCAGCTCTCGAATTGTCACGAGCATCTCGTTACAGCTAGCATGGTCAATGGGAGACAGTAGTTGTGATCGACTGGAATTCGTCGTGGAATACATAATCCGGGACTGTATGCATGGTCGTGTTGGCCGATGGTAAAGCTTTTCTTACAGCAATGAGCGCCATTCCTTACCAGACGGCCTCTCCAGACCCAAATGGTCACATAGCTGACCCATGTGATCGACGCCCCAGTACCCCTCAGTTTCTCCTCTCGCATTGGTAGCTGCCGGATATGGTCAACAAACACTTTCTGGTCATTTGACAGAGCACCAATTCTGCGCTTACCGACAAACCATGGCAGTCCAAAGGCGCCGTCTTCAAACGCCTTGGTAGTGTTTCCGCCTAGAACCTGCTTCACCTCCTCGGTCTTCGTCCTCGCGATCACCTTTTGCGCCTCTTCGTCACTGCCCAAAACAGTCCCAAGGATAGCCTGCAGATTCTCCGGCTTAGTCGGGTCGTTCCAGTGTGCCCAGAAATTGTCGTAGCAGAGCTCTATTGCGCGTTCAAGCTTTTGCGGGTGAGAGAGCGAGAGGGATACTAGGGCGCGCTGGATGGGCAATGTGTTGACAGGGAAGCCAGGCGGAGCATCTTGCAGGATGGGCACGTTGAACTGTTTCGACAAGCGCTGGCGCTCCGTGTTGATCCATTTGTCTTTGTCTGCATAATGTTAGAGACCAGGGTAGACAGTAGCAAGTCTGGGAACAAAACTTGGCATACTCTTAATCTTTAACGGCGGTGTGTTCCCACAGACCTTCATCAAACCCCCCAGCAGAATCGGCACATATTGCACCTCAACCTGTTTGAAGGCCTTCGAATTCTGCACAAACGCTTTGATTAGTGCCGCATTACACCTCTACGTCTCGAACGTGCTTCAACCTATACCACCCCCCAAACAAACTCACCTTTACGACGTGGAAAGCAATGTAGGCAAACGGGCTCACAATGTCTACATAGAATGTAATCTTCGGTTGAGACATGACAGGCTTTTTTTTAGAGAGCGAGTCTGGGGGAGCTGTTGTGGGGATAAGACAGGGGGTGGGACTTTATTCCTGGCACCATGCCCTATGTATGTAGGTGCTGGGTGAGGAGTCGGGACCGGTGATCTCATAGCCGGTCAGAATAACCGAGGCACGGGACGGCGATCTATCTATTCGCAGGCGTATCTACGTACCCCAATTTGGGAGCTGCAAGAGATGCTGGGCACTGTCAAAGAATATGCAAGATTCGAGACGTTGTTGCTTTGCGCCGAGTATTCCCTGCGACTGAAGGCTGGAGCATGCGCTGGCGACCATCATCGTCGGTGTCACGCAAAGCAAGTGCAACAGCAGGACATGTAGCTCGATACTGACAAACTTTGGTGTCTACACTGAACCTATAACACAAATACTCGCTTTGAAGTCATCACTGAACAGGCTTTCCTCAGAGTGCCTTCAATCAACCATTACAATGTCCCTCTCCAGGCCCAGCTGCGATGTGCCATTCGTGATGGCCTTGATCTCCCCAGCTACTTCGTCCATTTCCTTCAGAGTAAAGTCCAGCAAGTAGCTCTCGTCTACCAACTCCTCTACCCGTTTGTAGTGTCTCTCAGAGTACACCTTGATAGCATCTAGCACGTCCTTCAAACTGCCCTTCGCCCCTACTTTCCCCTGCGGCCTCAGACCGGCTAGCCGAGAAGCAGGGTAGGACTTGACTACAGTCCATAGGACTTTTTGAGCGATCGGCGCGGTGCGGACGTTGGTGTTCCAGTCACGGAGGCGGATGAGCAGTTTGTACAACTGCTCGTCAGCTAAAGAGGCGAGTACTTCGTCGACAGTATGGAGACCTGAGAGGCTGTCTGCATCTGGGCGCTCAGTCTCTACTACGGACTTGAAGAGGGAGAAGAGGCGGGCTGGCTGGTCCATTTGGAGGGCGAGTACAATAGCTTCGCGGTAGTTGCCGGCGTACGTGTAGTTTTGTAGTTTCTGATCGAGTTCGACGCGTTCTGTCTCTGCAGTCGTGGCAGCTTCCAGCGTGGAGCTTGTTGTATCCTCCCAGAATGTGATGACACTGTCTCCACCACCAGAAACCAAGGCGCCTGTTGTTGGATGCGCGGCGAGCGCCCAGACACGGTCGGTGTGGTTATCAAGTGTGGTCATGGCCTCACCCGAGAGTGAGTCCCAAATCTTGACAAGCCCATCACCAGCTGCAGAGGCTACTTGCGGACCGCGCTTGTCTCGTGCATCGACGGGTCGGTAGGGCAACCACGACAGCTTCAAAACGCTGTTGGAGTGGCCTTCCAGGGTGAGCAAACAGCTGTAGTCTGCTAGGCTCCATAACTTGACCGTTTTGTCGCCGCTGCCTGTTGCGATCAAACCCTTGTTTCCCGAGTTTGGCGCCTGCGACGCCTTGGGTGCGAACTTGACCGACCATACACCGCGTTTGTGGCCCCGAAGGACACCGATAGCCTCTCCTTCTGCGGCGGAATAAATCTTGACGGTGCGATCCTGCGATGCGGATGCGAAGAGACTGCCAGAGGGGTCGATGTCAATGGCGTTGATGTCTCTGTCGTGTGCTTTGCGGGTGTACTTGGCTCGCAGTTTGCCCTTCATCTCTTTGGTAGTATCCCACCGCTTGACGGTCCTGTCTTGCGATCCGGTCACAATGTATGCGGGTGGATGTGAGAGGGGGTCTGTGAACGCGGCTGACGATTCCTGAGGTATTGTGTGCGGCAATGCAATCGCGCCGAGTGACTCGGCGTGGCCAGTGAGGACTGCGGCGCAAGTGTAGGATTCGTTCTCGGGGTCGATTCGCCATAACCGTGCCGTATTGTCTTTGGCACCTGTAGCAAGCCAGTGGCCTGACCAGTCTACGTCCAGACAGATGACGATGTCCTCATGTCCTTTGAGTAAGCCGACATCCGCACCGAAGTATCTGCCCTGAGTTGCATCGTCTCCGTCGGACTCGTTCAACGTGATGATGCGGATGTCTTCCGAGTTGGTGTTGAGCGCCAGTAGAGACTTGTCTTTGCCAACGTAGGCAATGTCGATGACCTCGTCGTGTGTTCCCGAAACGCGGCGGAATATGGGTAGCGGGTCGATGGTGTCCTGCACACCGAGCGACTCGGCTGGTTTGAGGGTGTAGAAGTTGAGCACTTGGTCGGCATGGACCGAGACCAAGTAGGGTAACGAAGGGTAGTAGAGAATATTGACAATCTCGTCCGTCTCGGTTCCAGGCGCTTGCTCTCGGGTGAGCTCTCTTCCGCTGGACGCTGACCAGAGGCGCAGTCGGCCGTTCTCTCCACCCGAATACAACGTGTTGCCGTCTGGGAGGAAGCCTGCGCTCTCGATGCCTTCGAGAGCAGCAATTGTGCGCTGCGCCTTCCACGTGTGCGAGTCCCAGACAATCAGCGTCTTGTCTCGGCTGGCAGACACGAGGGCCTTTTCGTGCGGCGAGTACTGTAGTGAGCGCACAACGGAGACGTGCGAGTCGAGCACGGCGGCGCTCTTTCGCTTGTGCAGGTCCCAAATGCGTATCCTGCCGTCTTCGGCACCAGAGGCCAGTCGGAACTGCACCTGGCTCTCGCCCTGGGCGTGCTCCAGCTCGGCAGCTTCTGGGCGCGACTTCCTCTTCCTCTTTCTGTTGTTCTCGGGGGCGTCTGGGCGCTCCGCCACCTCTACCTCGAAGAAGTGCAGCGCCGAGACGACGCCGCCGTGGCCGTGGAAACTGTGCGTCGTGTAGCCACCGACAATGTCCCAGATCTTGACGACGCCGTCTGCGCCTCCGGTTGCGACCAGCGTGCCGGTGCGGTCTGTGGCCAGGGTGACTACGGGCGATGTGTGGGGCCGCAATGTGCGCAGAAGCTCGAGCTCGATGGTTTCGTCGTCCGTGGCCGGGGGGTGGAGGGCGAAGAAGCGCATCGACAGCGACCGCGAGCAGACGACGAGGTGGGATGCGGACGGCGTCAGCATGAGGGCCGTGATGGCCTCGCCGTCGCCCTCGACCCTCGCCAGCTCCTGGCCGTTGGTGAGGTCGGACAGAAGGACATCCTCGCCCAAGCTGGCGGCCAAGATGCGCCCGTCTTCGCTGAGGGCCAGGCTGCCGCCCGCGTAGATGGGCTGCAGGGTGCGAGCGACGCTGTACGTGGTCTTGACGGCAGCTCGTTGCGCCGACATGATGGGCCGTGTAGTGCAGAGACAGCAGCGAGCGTGTGCTGGCGGAGACGTGAGGCCGCAAGAAAAAAGTTTATCGATAAGGCGGTCGCACTACGCGCTGACGTCTGGCGGCGCGTCTCCCTCGCACCCACCACCACCACCGCCGCCGCCATGGGCCGCCAAGCCTACCTGGACAAGATGGCCTTTGTACGGACCCCGCCAGCGCCGCGCGCACATGCTGTCTAACACCGTGCTAGGGGCGGTCGGCCTTTGAGCCCACGCAGGCCGCATCGCAGTCGGCCGCGTACGTCCAGCTCGAGTCGGCGCAGGCTGACGTCCCGCCGCGCTACCACGAAGCGACCGCCAACAGCTACGTCCAGCTCTACGACGAGCGCGGCAACCCCATCAACCCCCGCTCCCACCAGTACGGCAAGAAGCTGCGAGGCGCCCAGAACGATGTGCTGGCCTCGGTCGGCGTCGTCGAGCGACGACACGCCCCGGCGGGAGCATTCCCTGGCTCCAGCCACGACCGCCTCGAGCTGCTCGAAGCCGAGGACACCGTTGGGAATGCGATCGCACTGGCTACCACGCTCACCGAGAACCTGTGTACATGGTGGATAGGCACAGTCAGGGAGAGGATTCTGGCACGTTCCCGTTGCCGCCCTCTCGTGGATCCACTAACCTGGGCAGACGTTCCGATATCCCCATGCCCTCACCTTTGCCCAAATCGCGGCCTCTGAGCGTGCCCTCTCTGGCGCCCCCATCGTCTATGCCGGCTTTGCCGCGCGTGTGTTTGCGACCATGAATATCCAAGCCATTGTCTACAGCACCTTTGTCTATCAGCCTGTGGAGCGCTTGCTCTATGCCACACGCGCAACCGCAAAGACACGAAACTTCTTCCGGCACGCCAGGAGAGCCCTCAAGTCTAGGTATGTCGCAGTGCTATCCTGCCCTCCTCTACTTACCCGGCTAGTCTTCGCCTGGGCCTCGAGATGCTGTGCTATCCCTTCTTTTACCACGCTGCTTTGCAACGCCTTGGACTAGTGCCCGCTCGCCCACTACTGCCAGCCTGGCGGTCCCTCATCCCCCTGTCAGACTCGTCGCCTCTGCTGCCGTTCTCTTTGCACTGCAATGCGTCTGATTCCATCGCGGACTGCATCGGTGCAATCTTGACCTCGCCCGTCATCCTCCTGTGCGTTGAACACTCCATCGAGCGCTGGATCTACGCCTGCGTCTACGAAGCTGTCGAGACGGCCATGATCCGTCCTGACGAGCCCGACATGCCCAGCCGGGACGCCAGTGGAAAAGACCGTGCTTTGACTGTTCTCGGGCTGCGACGGGAGTCACCGCCCCTGATTCGGAGCGCCGTTCGCAGCCTGCTCGCATTGCTTGGGTGGGCCCGGTCGGTGTCCCCTCCGAGCACACAAAGGAAGCAGGCCATGGAGCTTGCACCCGCGATCGCCTCCAGCGAGATCCAGACGTTAGAAGTTGGTGGCACTCAGGTCACCGGCGCTACCCCACTGAATCTCCCCGTCCTGCACTCGCGAGATCACCCTACTACAGAGCCGCTTGATGCAGATATCATCGCCATTCCGATCGATGCATTTGAGGACCTGGTACGATCTACCACCCCGCCAGGGTCGCCGACACGATCGGAGCAGAACGAGAACGATCCCCGGATACGCATAACGTCGAGGGAAGGAATCGTAGAGATGGAAGTCCGTCTCCCGCCTAGGATACTTTCCACGCACACGCATGTCGCAGAAGGCTCGGATCCATTGCAAGACGACGCAGCTGCTGAGCCGCGGAACCGTGCCCGCTCAATGGACGGTCATGTATACCACCGCGTCACGCAGCTCTCGTGTGAGCCGGCGCAGATGATCAGTGCAATGGTAAGAGCCCAGCTTGTCGGCCTTGTCATGCTCCCATGGAGAATGGCCACTTTGCAAGCGATTGCCTCACATTTTGTGGCCAGGCAAGAGGGGCATGCAGGGTCGTACCGCATTGTGGGTGGATTGGGTCTTTGGGAGGATGTGGGCTGGCGGAACATTGGCACCCAGCTCTCACGCGTAGCGCTCTGTGGTGCACTGGAGCTGACTGTCGATCTTGGCCTATGGGGATTGCAATATCTGGCCATTACAAGATTCGGGCAGAGTGTCTTCGGGTGGGGTGCACTTTAGTGTATCGCGCTTGGCAGACAATCTTACATTAATGATACCCCATTTTACTTCGTTAGTAGCGCAAGTAGCTGTTTTGAAATACGACGTCACATGTTAAAGATACGGGGAAGAGTACACGCGTGGCATGTCATCAAGAGAGTGGGAAATCGGAGACGTGTGGAAAGACGTGTTACGTGCACTCAATGGAAAGGTAAAGCCTGGGTCGAACGATGTTTTCTCACGGAGACACGTAGTATACTTGGTCCGCGTTCGCTTTCTCCCATACGTAATCTCACAGGAACTTGCTTATGTGAGTACTCGCAGCGGTAGACGTAGCTGGTAGTATTAATGCTTTCCTCCTTGAGATGAGACACTACCTCGCTTTGACAGGCCCAAGATCTGACATCAATATGGCCATTTCACGTCGATCCATTCAGTTTTGGTGCAGACATTGCATTCACGTTTACTCTACAGAACGCTATAATGCAGCATGGAAGTATCTACAGAGAGGTACGCTCTTACTGGTGTTATAACGCGACCTATGTATCCTACAAACCAACTTGCTGGGCGGCGAGCGCCATCCCACGCTGTTGCGTGTAACCCCAGTGTTCACACTCCCCTGCGATTAGCCGCGTATTCCTTCACCTCCTTGAAGTTGTCCAACGCTTCTGGGAACGCTTCGCGCAAGATTTGTAGTTCAGCAGGGTCATGCGGCTCCTGCTCAGCAATCTTGCTCATAAGCGCTGTGTCTTTCCTATAAACCCCCAACTTGGCCTTCCGTGCGGAAATGGCTCGTTCGAACGTAGCGGCTTGCAACGTCCTTCGCAGCTCACGCTCTCTGAGCTGGTTGGCGCGGTATGCGGTCTTGGCTGGGTTCTTCACCCACTCAATGTTTTCGTCCCAATAAGCCTTGCGCTTCTCGTCGGTCAGGTCCCTCATCTTGATACTAGCCATGCTTGCTCCGGCCTGGGCGATGCTGAACCCTCCTGCAAGGTAGTACGCACGGGCAAGTCGGGTAATAAGCATCTCAGCTACCGGGCCGTCCCACTCCTCGCTGATTAGACACACTGTGAACAGATCCACCTTCGGATCGTAACCCATGGCCAGAAGTACCGCGCGAGCGAAAATGCAAAGCCAGTTCGAGCTGTCTCCCATTTTGTCGTGCTGCTTGGATCGGACTTTGACGTTCTTTGCGTACCCGACATACTGCATCACCGGCATTGTTGTCCTGTTCCGACTGCGACATTCAAGGGCAATCTTCGCCAGCACTCGTGCAAAGGTCATCAAGCGTCGCTTTCGGGAAGGGTCTATGTCCTTCGTGGCCGTCCGAAGGAAGTGGCGATGCCCAGCGTCGCTTTTGCTTTTGTCGACTTTTGCCAGGCCAATGGCAGCTTTGTCGATCTTGTAGGCATTATCGGCATTGGAAGGTATTTGTTGAGCATAATACAACGCGTTCGATGAAAGTATCAACGCCTGATCAACCGTCAAGGGCTCGCGGGAGTCACCCAATGTGAGACAGCGGACGTACACGGTTGGCTGCTTCACGCCGCGGCCTTTATATCGATCTATCACGGCTGCGACAGAAGCATCGAGCTGGTAAAGTCGTGCCAGATTGCCGTCACGCGTAGAAATCGCTTTGAGGACATCGAGGTTCATGGTAGCCAACACTTCGTCCGCCGCAAACAGCCAGGCGCGATGGCTGCAACCGCCCATGAAAGTAGAGGCTGTCTTCGCTTCATCCTCGTAAGCAGCGTTGACTAGCGGTAGCCAGCCATCTTCGTCTAGCTTTTCGGAGAGCGCCCAATATTTTGCATGGTCGATCAGCTCTTGGTCTTGGTCTTGGCCAGGATCAACAATGGCCACATCCCCTTCGTCGTCTACGGCTGCATCGGGGGTTTTGATACGTGAAGAGGAAGAGCTTTTTGAGTCCGATTTGCTATCAGAGGTGGCTTGTGTGCCGTCCCCATCAGCGTCTTCCATCTCTTCATCTTTCTCTTCATCCTCTTCATCTTCTTCTGGTTCGGAGAGGTCGTCCAATGGTGGGGGTGCGGGCGTGTGTGCAATGAGACCCTTGTTGGCAGTACTATAGTAGATGGGTTGGAAGGCTGGCGACATTCTACCGGGTGTAGGAGTTCGACGTCCTGCTGAGTATGACGTCCCCGGTCTAGAAATGAAGGGGGACTGCGATCGTCCACTGGTGGCAGTCTGTGGCCGAGTACTGAAGGGGAATCCGGACGGAGCAGGGCGACCGCTTGGTCCACCAAGAGGACCTGCACCAGTGGTAGTCTGCGGCCGATTGCTGAAGGAGTACGCAGACGAAACGGGGCGACCGCTTGGTCCGCCAAGAGGACCTGCACCGGTGGCAGTCAGTGGCCGATTACTGAACGAATATGCAGACGAAGCAGGGCGACCGCCGGAAAGGCCTGCACTGGTATATGCTCCTAAGCCGCCAAAAGTAACCTTGGATTGTCCGCCGGATGTGGCAGGTCGGCTCGATGTTCCAGCTGAAAGGGAAGTTGCCGACTGAGCTACGATTGGAGCCGGCTGCACTTTCGACGCACTCTTGGAGCTTCCCAGGCTGGAAACGGCCTTCTTGAGACCTTGTATGAAGGATCTCTTCTTTGTGGGAGCCGACGTAGTCGCTGAGACGCCTTCATCGCGATCAGACTCGCCCTGGTAGTCGTCAAGGTCGCCCAGAGAATCTTGTGAATCTTGTACAACCCGGTCGCTCGCCATGTCTGGAGACGTCAGGGGTTGTCGCGCTTACACTGGAAAGCGACAGTTGGATACCTCAGGGGTCGACGCGTCTACACTAGAAGACGAAGGTTGGCTGTGGTCTGGATGCGAGCTGCGGGTGTGGAATAATATCGAGTCGGCTGGTCCTCTGCCGCGACTGTTATAAGGTAGTATTGCTCGTTGATTGTGGGCGGAATTTGCTGGAAAAGCCTGTGCGGTCAGAACCTGTGCAGCAAACAGCTTGCTCACGAGGGCCATACATTCACTATGACGCAATTCTGTCAAAGCCTTCCCTGGTCTTTGCGTACACATATTGTCTGGCTATCCAAACAAGACTTCCTTTGTCAGTCCACCCTACCAGTACGCCACCCCTGACTTTGTACCTTAGCCCCTGACGTATCCAGATCGCAACCAACTCTCGCCTTCTTGTAAGTGCGACACCTCCTGACATATCAAACCACAACGTCTCTGTCTAGTATGATCTAACCTCCGGCAGCGCCATGGTCAACAGTGACTTGTACGCCGACGACCGCGATGAGCCTATTGACGGCCCTGAAGCCTACCCGAAAGAGACTAGGGAAGAGTACAACGCTCTGATGGATCACGCAAGGCATCTTCCCTACGACAAGACCCAACTTAGTCTCAACTACTTCCTTCACGAAAACGCGAAGCTGTCACGGGAGCTCGAGCAGCATAGACAACTGGATCAGCTTACATCCGCGCAAAGGGAACAACGCAAGGTTCTTAGGGAGAGTCTAAAGCGCGCGAAGAAGATGCATCAGAAACGACCTGCAAGCGGTGGAGCAGAAGAGGCCCTCCGGACCAAGAAGATGTCACCGCCACCCGAAGAACCTCTTGAAAGGCCACAACGCACACCGACTTCCGAGCAAACTCGGGCCGGATTGCAAACTCCTGTTCGAACAGGTAGGTTATCGCCGTATGAAATGCATGCGAGACATATACTGACGTTGTATCTTCACTTTAGGCCGCGGTCCGAGGACTCTGAGCATTCGAAGCGCGAGGGATAGTTCTGCCGGAACAGGCCTCGACGCCAGCCACAATATTGCCCCAGACAATGACGATACAACCATGCCTGCCAGTCCCTCAGCATTATCTGCCATCGAGGAGGTCAATACACCCAGGGCGGCCAGTCACGCATTTGGAGAGGGAATGGACCTTGGCTTTGAACCGTCAGTCAACCCAAATCTCCAACAAGGTGATACTATGGGAGGTACCGGCGTCCCTACACCTGTGTTCCCGGCCCGTAGGTCCTCAATGGCGCTTGGTATTGACAACTCTCTCATCACATCTGGGGCAGCCACCAATATCTCCCAAACCTCGGCTCACGCCACATCAGACGTAGTACCACAAGATCCCGGCAGTCGAGAGAACTTGCCTCCACGCAAACGTGGCCGAGCCAAGGCCAAGAAGGAAGCGCCACCGCCGACTCCTGCTCTCGACTTCTTTGTGCTAAGCGAAGATGGCACTAGGTGGCGTGACCCTATGTACCTGAACGAAGATATCAGGGTTGTCATGTCGAATCAGATCAAAGGCATGGTCGAAGGCAACTCAAAGGATCAATACCAGAAGGCCGTCCAGAGAGGAGAAGCCGAGATCAACCACGAATCGCACTCCTGCTTCAATTGTCAGGTCACGAAGCGCAGCCGCAATTTGTGTCACAACGATTCGGCGACCGAGACATCTTGCTCACGGTGTTGCGAGCAGAACAACCAACCATGCGGCAAGCTAATCAAGCATCCTGGGAAAGACGACGCGTATGCCATTGGCTACCTGCCGGTACCGGCCAATCTACGCGGTTATGTCTTTTGGGAGGATATGCACAACTGGGTCCCTGTTGTACCGAACAAGAGAGCGCCCCGGGACCCGTCACCCGCCAAGACAGCTGCCATGGCTGCGACAGATGAGGTGAAGAAGCGATCGAGTATGCGCACCATAAAGGAGTCTGCCAAGAATGCGAGCGACAAGCTTCGAAAAGGACTACGTATGTAAAGCAGTTTGCAGGACATCTCCAAGGAGGTGAATGCTGGAGGAGCTCGCCCAACACATCTCTTTGTGAGATGAAAGGATGGAAACTGTAGACTTGAGCACTTGGCCGCCACCATACACTCACCCGCTTTAGATAGCTCCCTATGTACGATTCTAATGGAATGTGTCACCTTGACATACTACTCCGTAGTGCCTTTGAGCTGCGCATGTGCTACAGCCGTATTGGAGCGAATGAAGAGGTTTTCCAGAACAGCAGAACTTAAAAGCCCTTAATGTATTGCGTTGACGTCGTGTTTACCTAGGTATGCGCGCGACAGTGCCAGAGTGTATGGGATAAGCATGGCGGGAGACGTAATATACGTATCCAGGTATAAGCGCTTCGAAGATATGTCCGCGATAGGCGCCTGGGCAGGCAACAGCTTCGACACGTTTGTGACACAATGCATGTCGTCGTGCTCGGTCGTGGTGGGTGTACGCGATGTGATGGCGGCCCCACCCGGAATGTTAAGTGTGCATGGCCCGTACTGTATTGGGGATGGCATTCGCCGGGCCACCATCTAAGCAATTATGTGTTTGGTCTTCATATCGTTGCTATACTACCTAGGTATGTCAGGATAGTAGCTCTTTATAGCGGCTTGCAGTATGTGTACCTGAGTCTTTATAACCAACGTTAGAACTATCTAGTACCTTACTCACAAGTTTAGGTCTACTCCTGTAGCAAAAAGTCAATTATGCTGCGCATAGGTTGCGAATTGTAGCAAACCTTAGGAGGCTTTACTGCAAGACAAACCCCTACGCCGTTTAGCCGCACATACTGTTCAACGAGATGCATACGCAGTACGTTCAGTACCTAGGTATGCAATATGAGTTATAATTATAAGAGCTATTTCGGCTAGTAGGGATATAGAAGTCTAGCCTGCGAGCAATGAGCTCACGTAAGTGCTCGAACCCGTAGCCTCTAGGTAGGTATCTACACTCCAGATATGTTGAGCCCTTGATAAGAATATGAACAGATAGAATGACTTATTTGTCGTAGACATATTCTACTAGACAGGCCTGTGCTGCCAGAAAAAAAACAGATTGGTTGGAAGGGCTTTGCCCTCGCTATGACGCGATACCTAGGTACTGTCGCCTTCACCTAGTAAAAGTAACACAAATAATTTCACCTTCACTAATCCTTACCTTCCAAGGTTCCCTTGTCTTCTACGCTCAAATTAAATCACATCGACAACCTTGGAATCGATAGGCATTTGTTAGCCACCATGACATCTACATTCAGAAACCCAAGGCATGAGCAAGATGAAGTGCGAATGCGGCTCTACGCGCTTGCCCAGCCACATGAACCCACTGCGTACGAAGAACGCAGCGATACGGAGGTCAAGGATGCCCTTGCATTCTTCGAGACCGACGAGCAGCACCGCGAGCTTATGCTGAAGGCAGAGGCTCTCCCACAGATCATGAAACTCGTCAGAGCGTGCAAGACGCGTGAATACGATCTTGAAACCCGATTCGCTGAACGTCTACAGCAAAGTCTACGAGACAAGGAAGTCGAGCTCGAAAATAAGTATCAAGCGGAATTGAAAGACGCCAAGGACGAGTATGTACATCTTCTGCACATTAGCGACATTACCAAAAATACAAAGGTATGCTGACTTTGATAAAGTAATGAGAAGCAGCTCAATCAAAGGGCTCAAGTGTTTGTTGAGCAAGAGCAGAACCTCCGAAGGATACACGCTGCTGAACTGAAAAGCATCCACTCAGCCTTGTCTGGAGCAGCAGCCAGCAGAGGCATAATCATTCCTCCCGAGGGAGAGAGTTCGGCCATCGATCGACTGAAAGTGTACATCAAGGCTTTCGGATCAAGCAGCAAGCAGAGCGAGGCGCGCGAGCTGCAGCGGGTCGAAGAAATCTACCAAGCTACTGAGGACCGCGTCCGCGAACACATGACGCAGGCGCTTGTTGAGATGAAATTGACAGCCGCCTCCGGACAAGCCTTGGAAGCATTTACTGTCTCTTTCATTGGCCACATGTCGCGCATGCACCAGGATCTGAAATCGCTACGCGATTCACAACTCCTCATTGATGAAGATATCACAGATGCCTACAAGGAAAGTATGAACAAGGATTTCCGAAAAGGGTCTTCCTGCGAGACTAAAGTCTCCGTTTTCACCCGTTCGGTATCCGGCCTCGTCAGCGGAGGGATACAACAGACTCGCACAGCAATCGTTACGAGCATTCGCAATGCCTTCGGCCCTGTGTGCACCAAAGTTGGTATTGAAGTCAACCCTGGTACGCCGGAGGAGTGCATTCAACAGCTTGGCGTTGCGTTTGACAAATTGGTCGAAAACTACGGCAGGATGTTGCAAGACACGGCCGTGATACTTGACAATGGAACAGCGCTTCTTGATCTGGATCTGGATCTGTCAGAAAACAACCCCATCAACGTAAAGGTGGAGGAGTTCACAAAAGAAGTGTACGCTCAGCTCGAAAAGTCACGCAAGGACAGGGAGAAGGCTATCCGCAAATTCTGCGACCTTGATAACTGGGTGACGGGTTTTACGCAGAGCGCTCGCGATTCTTCCAATAGGCTGCGTCTCGCGATCAAAGAAGACGCCACAGGCCGAGAGCAGATATTGACGTCGTATATGACCAGCCTCGAGTTCTGGTACAGCAAGCATACCGCGATGCATAAGTCTGTACGCAAGCAGATCAACGACACCAGCACAACTCTTGGTATAGACATCTCAAGCAAGAGTAGCACGTCTCCAACCGAGAAGACGAAGCTATTGTTAGATGGCGTAACGAAGCTAGTGCGAGATAACGACACGAAAGCGAACGTTCGATTATCGTCGCTTGTCGAGGTCATGAGGTCTGCACTTTACGTCATGAAGGCCACCATACCATCGGATGTTACACCTGAAGCTTTCTTCAGCGCCTACCACGATCATGCCAACAGTCTTGTCGATCTTCTGTCTTCGGAAACGGGCAGTATAGAACACTCTGCGGACGAGGTTACGGGCGCACTCAGCGGTAAACGAATAATATTCCAAGACCGCATTGCCCAGAACACCAGACTACATAACGAAAACCTCCAGAAGCTCCATGAGAATTACGGCGCCTGCATTGTGGAAATGATCAAGTCGATCCATTCCGACACACTCTCGTTCCAGGGCCTGGTATACCCTGAAGAGGACGTCCCAGATCTGGAATTACGACCGGACATGTCGCTTGAGGCGGCTTCGGCCAATGCCCACGCAGCCAAGACATGGGTTTTCGCCTGTGCAGGGACGATTGGAACCGCGCTCACCGGTAGGAAGGTCCAGGTCGAACAACTCGCGTTGGATCTTGCAGGGAGGATCAACAGCCAAAGGTCGCTATTGAAGGACTATATCGAGCTCAAGGGTGATTTGCAGGACAGTATGCAGTTGGCGAATGACCTGGGCGTTCAGGTAACCAGGCTGACGGGGGCTTAGTTGCCGAGGATGAGTGTCAACGAGAGATGGGATGACTGGTGCACGTAGTTAGGAGCACGCACAAGTAGCAATACAGCAGCGTCCGAATGCATCCAGACTGTCAATACGCACTGTTAGTGCCCATGAGCGGATTGTGAGTATGCGAAGATTATGCAAGGCCCTCCAGACGTGTACGTGAAGGGCGCAGGTACTGAGAGCAGTCACGGCAGGTTACAAGGTAAGGGGTGTGGTTTGAGCGAGCTGGGAGTACTGGATCTAGTTTTGGCGCCCGCGACAGCAAACTCATCGCCACAAGGTCACTATGCATACACAAAACACATGGACAACGTTGCCGCATACGGAGAACAGTACATCGGTGTCTAGGAGCGAGTTGAGAGCCTGGATCTGGTCCCGACGCCCGCGACAGCGAAACTAAGCGCAGACAGGCCCCCTAAACGCACAAATCACGTAAAAAAACGCGTCTATATACAAAGAACATTGTGGCTAACTTCAAAAGCAAGTGGATGTCGTTCGCACGAGTTCAACGTCCTTGAAATCCGCCATCGTGCCGCGACAGCAATAGAGAGTGCTCTGAGGACACTGGAGACTAGCAAACCACGCAAACGAAGCGGATAGATACAGAAGATGACACGCCACTGTCTAGGGGCAACTGGGCGTGTAGCGCGCGACTTGGATGCTGATTTCAGCATGGCACCGTGACCGCCAGATCAAGCGCCCAACAGTCACTACGGACTGGGAAAGCGAGGAAAGGAGGGACAGAAGTAGCAAGAATAGTATGCGAGCGTCTAGGAGCAAGGCAGTGTGACGTGCGCGGGTTATGCTCGGATTCCGCCGTAGAGCCGCCACCGCAAGATTAAGCGTCCGAAGATTGCCACATACCCGTCCCACACGCAGACAGAGTCTGTAGGTACATGGAATAGATTGTGAAAGTTTGAGAGTAATGGGGTGTGAACTGAATACGTGATAAGCCCTTGGATCTGTCTTGGGCTTACAAGACCAGATCTGAACGCTATATAGCTACAGCAGACTTCCCAGACAGACGGATGAAGCCTCAGAGCACAGGGAACGAATACAGTCGCTTTTGGGAATACTTGGGTGAGTCTGCGCGCGTGGGAGGTCATCCAGTCCGGTTTTGAGGTCAAAACGGAAATATGGGCTGATTGAAGCATTCCGAGCACCTAGAACGTTGTAAATAGACGAAATGAAACGTCAAGATGCGAGGAGTCGTTTGGAATACTCAGAAAGCAAAACAGACAAGGTGCCGAACCATTGGAAGCGATTTGAGTCGATTTTGGCGCCCCAAGAGCAAAATGGATGATTCCGATGCGCTATTGGTCGTGGAAGACGCCAAATACAGGGAATGAAGCGTACAGGCCTAGAGAACAGTTTACAATGAGCTCGAGTGAGTTGGGACGACAGTGGCGGCTGTTTTGAGCGGGTTGGTTACAAGCGGAATCGGATTTGGGCAAACTTCATGCGCTTTTGGTCGTACAGAGGCGAAAATATAGGAAATGACGCATAGGAACGTAAGAAACAACTCGGAGGGCGTTTGGGGGTGAATTCAATGCTGGTGCACGCTGTTTTGGGCGGGTTTGGTGACTTTGGGCGCAAGATGAGTATTCCCAATGCGCTATTGGTGCCAGAACACCAGAAACGCGCTCAATGAAGCGTGGAGACGGGAGGAACGATTTGGGACAAGATTGGAATGACTGGGCGATGTTCAGGCGTTTTGGTGCACTTTGCGGCGATTTTGGCGTCAAAGCAAGATTTTCGAGGCTACAGTCACGGTATCAACACCATAGATACGGCAGATGAAGCGTCGAGGCGTGAGGAACCATCAAGACAGGTTTGGACATGTGCGGATGAGGAGCGCACGAGTTGTGGGTGGTTCACGTAATGCAGACGCTCAGACTACCGAACGCGAACTGCACTCCATCGTAACCACACTATGGATGCTAGCTTTACCGCATCAGAGAACCCGGCAGTTGGCAACGCGGCAGCACGTGCAATGTGGCGCCCTCCCGCCAGCGCCAACGCCTTAGTCTCTGGCTTGGAGAGGACGATGCGACATTGGGGTTTGGTGCAGTGAGGCGGAGATTGCGAATGGTTCTGTATGTAGTCGGATCAGCAGGGATCGCCATCAGGTCTTTGGATAGCGTCACAGAAACGTCGCTACCAGAGGCGCTGTGAGATGCCGACAGAGCAGCGTGCGCACAGAGGGCAGAGGCAGGACGTGCAAAGGCTCGTCCCACGGGTGGTGGCATACAGGCGGAATGCTACGCGAACAGGCCGGGCCAGGGTCTGCAGATGGCAGCTGTGGGTGCGGATATCAGTGAACCCCTTTTCCCAGGTACACAGGGCCCTGCGTCTTTGGCCTTGTTGAGCCGTCTCCACAGAGTGCGTTCGCGCGTGCAGCCACGCCGCCCGCCCGTTCTGCTTGCACTGGCACGGCGTTTTCATCGGTCGGTCGTTCCTTCGTCGGGCCCCTGCACCTGCCTGCATCGAGTCCCAGGGGATGTCCACGCTTGGGCTTTTCCGCCGCCGCCATCCTGCCATCCATCCCATCACCGCTCCTTTTTCCCCACCACGCCAACACACTGCCGGCCGACCTCACGCTGAGAGACGCTGCGTGCTGCCGCATCCCATCGCCTCGCTGCCCCCCTCGGACGCGCCCACGACGTCCCCGCCTCGACGTCCCCGCCCCGACTACGACTACCCGACTGCGACTGCCCGCCTACGACTACCCGTCTCCGCTGCATTGCCTTTGCGCTTGCTTCCCGCGCCCAGGGCCCTGTACCTTGCTCAACCCCGTCGTCTTGCGAAACCCCGTCGCGTTGCTGGAGGGCCACGCCGGACATGTGCACAGCGGCATAGGCCACCTGCAAAAACAAAGCCTGTCGGGCCCAACACTGCAGCGCCAGCACCTCTGCCGCCCGCAGGAGCACTCGTACAGACGCGCCACCCCATCACCATGTCAGCCAACTCGCTGCCTCGCCCGTCGCGGCCCTCGATCGCTCCGCCAACCGGTCCCTTGCCCTCGCTGCCCGTCTCCAAGTCGCGGAGCTCCAATGTCGGTCCGACGACGCGCAGCTCGCTGCTCCCTGGCGCCGCCAGCACACGCGCTGTGTCTTCGTCGTCGCTACCCTACCGCCCGACGTCGAAGCATCTGACGTCTCCGTCGGTGCCATCGTTCCCGCCTGACGCTGGCGCTGCCGGCTCGCTGCCCGTGGGCAAGTCGCTGCGCAAGACCGTCAGCATCGGCTCCTTTCCCCAGCCGCCCAGGCATGGCGGACGCTCCAATCCCACCAGTCCGCTTTCCACCAGCTCGACGCCCGGCGGAGACATGGTCGATCGGAGGCTGTCCTCCATATCCAAGGGCCCAGCGCCCGCCCGGAGCAACAGTCTGAAGAAGCCGCGGAGCTCCAACATCGGCGGCGCGCGAGGCCTGCTCCCCAAGTCGCCCCTATCGCCCCCGAGCTTGCTCAACGGCAGCGCCGATTCCGTCACCGTCGAGACGGCCCATCTCAGCCTCCCCTCGCCGCCGCAGAGTCGCACCTCTTCGCCGCAGGGCTCCTACGCGACCAGCGCAACCACATTCGAAGACGGGGAAGACGGACGCGCCGACGGCAAGGCACTCAAGGACGGCAAAGGCAATGTCATTGTCAGCGTCCGTGTCCGACCCGATGCCGGAGCCAAGGAACACAAACACGACCTGGAGTGGGAAGTCAACAACAAGCAGGCCCTGATCGCCTACAAGGGCAAGGAGGGCGGAGACTACATTTACGGTATAGTTGCACACGGCGAGGGTCGCTGCACCGGAGCTAATTTGGCTTGACCTAGACAACGTATTCGATACCCAAGACAACAACGCGCGCGTGTACGATGCTGCAGCCAAGCGACTCGTCCGGAGAGTCATGGAGGGGTACCATGGCACCGTCTTTGCCTACGGCATGACGGGAACCGGCAAGACCTTCTCCATGCAAGGAACTGCGACGAACCCCGGTGTCATACCCCTGGCCATCACCGACATATTCTCCTACATCCGGGAGACGCCCCAGCGAGAGTTCCTCCTGAGGGTCAGCTACATCGAGATCTACAATGAGAAGATTATCGATCTGCTAGCGGGGCCCGCGGTCGGCATGAACGGCCAGACCGGGCCCGTTGAAGAGATCAAGCTGCGCGAGGACAGCAAGCGTGGCGTCTATGCGTCGCCGCTCAAGGAAGAGATTGTGCAGAGCCCGACACAGCTCCTGAGGGTCATCGCCCGGGGTGACAATTCGCGAAAGGTGGCGGGTACGCAGTTCAACGCGCGCAGTTCCCGGAGTCACGCTGTCGTCCAGATCGTCGTCGAGAGCAGGGAACGCGCTCCTGGCCCTGCAATGAACGGCGACAAACGCTCAGCTATTGTCCCGGGCGGCGTCCGTGTTTCGACACTCAGTCTGATCGATCTGGCTGGCTCTGAAAAGGCGGCGGACAACAAGGAGAGGAGGACCGAGGGCTCCCACATCAACAAGAGCCTGCTCACCTTGGGCACAGTCATTGGACGATTGGCTTCGGACAAGGACAAGTCGGAAAAGGACAAAGGAAAGGGCGACAAGCACTTGCCGTACCGAGACAGCAAGCTCACCAGACTTCTCCAGCCCGCCCTGTCTGGAAACTCGCTCGTCAGCATCCTCTGCACTATCCAGATCGGAGCTAGCGGGAGTCCTGCTGCTGTCAACAGCCACACAGGCGAGACGCTGAACACGCTCAAGTTCGCCTCTCGAGCCAAGAACAACATCGTCAGCCACGCCAAGAAGGCCGACGAGTCCATGGGCGCTGGTGGAGATGCCGGCAGTCGGGCACTTCTGGACCGCTACCGCCTGGAGATTGAGGATCTGAAAAAGCAGCTGGCAGAAGGCAAGAACAAGGAGCCCAAGGAAGAAGAAGACGACGAGCTGAAAAAGGACAAAGAGGAAGAGAAGGCGCGCGAGTTGGAAGACAAGCAGCGCCACGAGGAGCAGATGCTTGAAATGCAGCTCGCCCGGACTGCCCTGAAGGAGCGGATTGAGCATC